CCAGAGACCAGTGGTAGCAGCATCAAGGTCCTTGAGGACAACCAGGGGGCCATAGCGTTGGTGCAGAACCCCCTCAGCTCAGGTCGCACGAAACACATCAAAGTGAGATTTCATTTCATCCGCGAATTGTTTAGGTCGGGGGATATTTCGGTCAAGTTCGTTCCGACAACGGAGCAACACGCGGACCTCCTAATCAAGGCCCTTAGCAGGGCCAGTCTGCAGTACCACCGGCGCAAGTTGATGAATTTGCCGGAGTAGCTGTAGCAGTTTCTAGCACTTGGGAGAGGTCATGTTTTCCATGCGGGGAAAGGCGCATAACTGTTGCGGTCTGTGTACCAATGGCAGGAGTAGGGGGCGTTGGGAGACCATCGTCCGGGGGAACGTAGTTCCTCGCGTTCTTGTCTTCGCCTTGGCCTTTCTAGTAAGTGCGGCCGTTGTGATCCGCTGTGATAGCGACGGTTTGTTTGGTGGTAGGTTTCTTTTCGAGGGGTTTTGCCGGGACGCCGGGTTTCCCCTCCATATATTACCATATTGGCATTTTGATGTATTCAGGGGCGTTCTTGCCCTATTGATGGTTAGTCACTTGCGTGAAGAACCAGGGAGGGTGTTCGTGGGTCTGCGAACATTGGTGTTGGAGACATGTGTTGTATGATTTGGTGTCACGCAGACTGGTAAGTTTGCCGTTTGGTAGGGGGCACCGCGATGATTCACGGGGGCCTCCTTGCTGTGGGAGCCGCTCTTTGAGCACTCCCACTTTCGTCCGTGTGAAGGGCGGTCGTCTATCTACCTCTCGTGAAATTAATACATTACCAAAACAGTCTCACCCGATAAATAAGTGGCGTAGGCCGCAAACACTTGTTCCTTTTGTTGTTTCCATCCGCCGTCAGTTCGTGATCTACCAACACAGTACACTCAGCCAACAGCTAAATAAACTCGCAAAACCAAATGAGCTTCAGACAAGCAACGCCGGCGACGCTCGTCGCCTTGGCTTAACATAATGGAGTATTCCAGACGTAGTCTAGACCACATTCCGAAAAACGGGGACGGCAGGGAGCCATGCGTTGGCTGCGGCTACAATCTGTCGTGAACTGCATGTCGACACTTAGAATTGTATTGTGTTGCGAGTGACAAAACCGAACGCTCATGACCGCAACTGTATTTTCCAACGAACGGGTAACTTGTGGGCGACGAGCTTCCTTCTTGCCCTCCGTCGCGCATTGTGCCGCAGAATTTAAAATTTGTAGTCCGTCTACTTTTTTCTACTTGCAGCGCGACATTGATTGTTGATAGAGCGATGTACTATTACTTGTCGGAGTGGCTTCAGGAAATAAAGAAATGATCACGTCGTCACACACACTCTAAAACAGAGCGCCAACTAACGGACACGATGTATCCAATGCCGATGACACGGTGCATGCGCGGAACCGCACGACAATGCACGTATGTATATGAATTTACCTCTTCGAAGTTCATGCGCATGCACATGCGCATCTCTCCCGCATAACAGCAGTGATACTACTTGTAGACTCGTGTTTCGCGGGTAGTGGGGACGACAAGTTGTCTGCTTGACTTGTGTGGGGCTGTGCGGAAGAATTTGTTGACTTGTTCCCCCCCGGGCCTGCTGCTGCTGCGGTGTGTGCTGTGTGCTGTGTGCTGTGTACTGTTGTACGGTGTGCGCTGTGTGTGCATGAACAGCACGCTCCAACCATGGCAATTATACTTCGATTGGAGTCTTGTACGGCGAGATGGTAGTGGGGTACATCCACCCGACCAGTGGGGCATGGTTTGCGTCGTTAACCCCACCGGCGGTGGCACCACCAAAACGTTATCATTCGGCCTCACCATGGGTCTCACGATAGCCCTGCAACGCAGCAATACATTCGTACATGCCTTATGTCATTTGGAGTGTTGTGAGGGCAGATCCAGCAGTAGGTCCCTGGTGGTGTTGAACGAAGCCTTCTGCAAGGAAGTCTGCCTGCAAGAAAATGGCAGTGTTCGCTACCCACGTCATGTGTTCGGCGCTTTTCGGCGGGATGTCTTGGCCTGTTCGCCGCCCCAGGTGCTGCCCGCTGCTGTGCGCTGTGCGTGCATCGACTACAGGTGCTTGTATGTCGGGGCCTTGTAGAGCGAGATCCAGCTGAGCTGGTGGAGTCAAAAACGTTATCTACCCCCACCAGTGGGGTAGCGGCGGTATGTTGCCCGTTTCCCACCAACCGCCGTGGCACCATCAAAAATGTGCCTTCGGGCTAACGATGGGTCCAATGATACAGCGCGGCAACACATTCGTTGAAGTCCTGTGCTGATCGGAGTCTTGTAGAGCGAGATACAGGTGGTGGGGTGTTTAGCCGTGCCGTTTTTTAACTCAAGCTGTTTCGTAACGTTCGCCCCGTGCTCCATTCTGCTTAATAAACTGAACTAACTGCTGTTAGTTTTAGGAACGCCGCAGTCTCTTGTGCGAGCTCTCTGTGCCCACCGAACCGCCCGAAAGCGAGCTTCTGCTAGAACAAGGTCGGGCGACTTCGATGATCATGTCGCAGCCAACACCAATGCACCGGTGTCTCTCATGATGCGATCCGATGAGGAACGAACCCGCTCTGTGTCATACTGCTGACTGTTGGTCAGACTACCTGCATCAAATATCGACCGGACGCCCAAGTAGACTATTAAGAGTAACGGTTGCCGCCTGTGTCATCAGTCGTGAGGGTCACGGCCGGCGCTGCTGGTCTAGTTGGCTATGATTCTACCTTAGGGTGGTAGAGGTCGGGAGTTCGAATCTCCCGTAGCGTCGATCTTTTTGATCAGTCCAACCAGTTGGTATCCTCACAACCTTCTGCAGTGGTTAGTGAGGTCAAGGGTTGGTTCGAATCCCGTTGTAAGCGAGGTATTCTTTCTTTCGAAGTGAGTTCTTCTCTCGCTTCCGCTCCCGGGCCTAGCGGATAGCGCTAGTTTGTGTGTAGACAAAGGGAAGAGCGTGCCGAACTCTTCTTGTTTCAAAAATCGAAGGCAACGTACCGCAGGAGGGGAGGGTAGAGCTGGGCCCTTCTGTGTCACCACGGGTTAGAATAAATAAACGGCAGCTGTGAGCGCCGATTTGAAGTAAGACCAAAAAATGTCGGTCGGTGTGGAATGGAAAACGCAGCGGGAGGCTTGGCCGTGGAGGGAACACTGCTACACTGCTGCCTACCAAACGGGGCTCTGAGTTGCGCAGAACACCCGCGCGTGTGTCCAGTCAGGCAAAGCCTGCTTAAATAGTTGAGGGAAGCTAGGTCTGGAAGCGGGCGGGTGCGTGCCTGGATCCTGCAGCGGTACGGTATCTGCAAACATATGTAGTCTAGACTAGACTAATATACGTTGCGAAGAGAAACCTCTTGTAAAGGCTGACATCGCCCCATGAAGATGATGAAGCACACGCCGCGTGATTGGCGCGCTGGTTGTCTTGGTTTCTTCTTCCTTGATGTAGTGTTGCCACCCCATGAAAGCTCTGATGGTATGCATATATATGTATTTATTTATTGATTTTTGCCTTCCGACAATTGCAGATAGATGTACCTCAGAAAACTTTCACTTTATGTCTCATACTCTACATGAATTTAAACCAATACGAAGTACAACAACATATGTAGGACTTATTTCTACTGTCATTTACATCGTAAAAGTATCTCCTCTTCAACTTACCAATGACAATCCTGATGGTAACCTATATGCGTTCGTAAGCTTGCTAAAATACTACTGCGTTGATGTCCGCTTGTAAAAGCTGAAATCCAACAAATGCTTTGATCCATGCTACATCTCCGTGTTGGAAAAGCCCTTTCATCTCCGTTCATGATAACATCTTACCCTATTCTACGCAAATCTGTCACATCTACTCTCAAACAAGACGCCAACTTCAAACGAAAACGCGTTCTACGATGCGTCTACACTCCATCCCCATATCATTGGCGTTGACTGGTCCGAGGTCGATCTTGTTCGCCTGTTTTCGGCGTCTTGACGCCCGCGCAATGCGAGCTTGTACCTCTGCACTCGCCGAGATATGGCCACCTGTGTAGCCACCGAAACGATCTGAAGAAGTCGTTCCTTGAAGACTCCTTTCAGAGCCATCGTTCCTCCGTCCCTTCCTCCCACGGCATGTGTCGCAAGTTCATCGATGAACTCGTAACCCTCCTCTCCAAGGCGGCCAAAGCTTTCCACGGCTAAGGTGGTAAGTTTAAAGCTATGTATTGTATATGTGGTCTCGTCTACCGCCTCTGCAATCTGCGAGGGTGGGTCATACGTAATTTTTTTGGCTCGAACATCGAACATCGAACAAGCGGCATAATCATGTGATTGGCCAGGAAGGTCCAACAGCCCAAAGAGATTTAGGGTTTTCCTTTTTTTTTTCTTAATATGGCACAACGAGTCCATCTCTATCATAGAAAAGAGTCATAGACAGATTAACAATGGAATCATAGCGTCAGAGAAAACTACCTGT